ACTGTAGGTGCCTGAAACTTTAGCCTAGAAACGCTGTTAGGCTAGGCCTTAGCCTTACTTTGATCTAGGTTATAATAATACTGTTATCATGATAAGAACAGCCGACATGGTATTTTCCATTGCTAGTATTGACATTTGTGAAATATAATTTTTCATTGCAAGCAATTTCAAATTTGTTAAAAAAGTGATTCTGACTGAGATTTTGACAATTAAACAAACATAATGTATCTCAGGCCTACTCGATCGTCAGCAGTGTGCGAGATGCGAAGTACAATAACCAATCTCAATAGAGAGGGCATACTTTATTTATCGCTCACGATCATATCGGTGGTGTAAGCAGTTCAGTAAAACAGATTAATTAATGTTTTTTGGTTTTTTTTATTTATTGTGGGATGAATTAATTTAAAATACCTAAATGGCGTTCGGCAAGGTTGCATATTATCTCCTACACTATTCAATATGTATGCAGAGTGCATCATGAGAATTGCCCTTGAAAATTGGGTTGGCAGTCTCTCAATAGGAGGATGGCAGTTGAACAACCCTCGATATGCAGATGACACCACTCTAGTGGCCACCAATTTAGAAGAACTTCGGATGGTGCTAGAAAGGGTGAAACAAGAAAGTGAGACCCTAGGCCTACGACTGAATGTATCCAAAACCAAGTTCATGGTCATTGGTGAAAATCATCCCACTGATACCCTAATAGTTGATGGCAAAGAAGTCGAAAAAGTCACCCAGTTTAACTTCCTTGGGGCTCTTGTCGCTGTGGACGGGGGATGTAAACAGGAGATCAGAAGACGCTTGGCAATGGCAAGATCCGCTATGAACAAACTAACAAATATCTGGATCGACCGAGGGGTCACCAAAGCAACAAAAACACGATTAGTCCAAGCATTGGTCTTCCCCATCGCAACCTATGCTTGTGAAACATGGACACTCACAAAAGAAGATTGTAAAAGGGTTAATACTTTTGAGCTCTGGTGCTGGCGTAGACTACTGAGGATACCTTGGACTGCAAAACGAACAAATGTCTGTTTTAAAAGAAATTGGTCCTAAAAAAAGACTAATCAATGCAGGCGACAAGATAACTGCCTTGAAAAGGTTCTCGTGCAGGGCAAGATTGAGGGATCAAGAAGACGTGGACGTCCTAGGTCCAGATGGATCAACAGGATCACATCTCTAGTTGGACAACCTCTACCAAAGGTGTATGAAATAGCTGCGAACCGACATAAGTGGTGGGTCATCACAGAAGTCAGGAACTGTCAGCCATGACGGAGACGTACCAATCAATCAATCAATTAATCAATCAATCAAATGAGAGTTCATGGCATTGGTGAACGAAATAAAAAAATAAATAAGAAGAAATACTGCGGCGGGTTCACGAAACAATTACCCTGACTACCTCTGACGCTCGACTGTATATTGTATACACAAAGCGAGAGCATTCCAACAGATGAAATCTATAACCAGTAAATTTACCTAGTAACAAAGAGGTCATCAAGAAAATGGTAATCTCTTATGAGAAATAGTCTGTATTTCTGATTTTTCTTATCTTTTTGTGTAAAACTGAAATTGATGCCAATATTTTTCTAAGGTTTATAATAGTTAGAGTAATCCATGTATTTTTTCTAAAACAATTATTTTTTTTTGTGAAAATTTCCCAGGAATGGGGCTTTAAAATTAAAAGAAATTGGTTTTATCATAAATATTTAAAGGGCCATGCAGTAACTTGAGTCATTAGAGAGCTTTCGCTATCTCGTTCGAGAATCAATTCACCGAGAAAATTTCTCTTTCCTGTTATGGGCAATTTCACGGACTTGGCGGAATCACAATTTCATGTCATATTTACACTTCATTGTGATTCTTAGAATAGTTGTCATATTTACAGGAACTCATCTAAACATTCCACCCTAGTTTTGTTTAAAAACCTATCTTGATATTCATATAATTACCAAAAAATATACAGTATATGCTGGTGGAAAGACAAAAAGAAATACAGGTACCACTCTTTTTCACCACTACACATTTTACTAAAACCCTCTGATACTGCATATGAAAGTGATTTAAAAATTGAGTATATCTTAGGTTGTGTTTACGAACTTTCAACGAAACCGGATAAGTAAAAAATGACATAATGCCCAGAGGGTAGGTCATTAGATCGCTCGTTTACGAACCCCAAGTTATTCGGATACGGACAGTAAGGTATAGGCCTTTCATATATTAAAACAAAACAAACACTTCACCGCTTAGCCTTCCTCAGCCCAACAAGGCAATTCAACAATGAATTACCTCGCCTTGCCTACGCTTGTACTCCAACCAATTCTAAAAACCCAGGCCTTAGAAACTAGAGCCTAGCCAACTGGGAAAATTACCCAAAAAAAAAAAAAAAATTAAAAAAAAAAACAAAGGGAAAAAAATAGCCTACGGACTTACTACTACGTGTACTATTAGTTCCACTGGTGTTCAGAGCCGCCAACGACGTGTCAACAGTGTGTGGTGGACAAGAAATGGGTCTATCGCCAAAAATTTCGTTCATCATCGCAAAATACGGCCATTCTGTGGGGGTGGGGGTTTCCTGTTGGGGGTCCTTTTCCTGGGTGTATTTTTTTGCGCAGGTTCTTGCATTTGGTATTCTATCTGTGCGTGCGTAAAGTTATAACCCATTTCCCGCATCTTCTGTGCGATTTCTTTATAAACGGCGTTGTTCCATCAGGTTCCATCAAAACCATCTTGTATGGATGTCGTTCCCCATATGCTAATCAACGTTTGGGTTGCTTCGTCAGTCCACCCACTCTGTTCAGCTGCAGCCATTGTATATAGGGGTATATCGTTGTAAAAACCCGAGGCAGCCTCCAACCCTCCAAACTTATCCGGAAAGGATAAGCCCGGAAAGTCCAGATGTTTTAGTAATTATAGCTAGTTGAGGAATGATTAATTATCACCTCAGGTTTGAGTTATCCGGTTTTCGAAAGTTCGTAAACGGGCCCTTAGTTAATACAATACAACTTTATTCATTCCACCTTGGGTACAAATGCCGAAACCAAGAACTGCAATCGGTATTAGGGGCCTCTGTAAGTTTGGACTCTTTCATGGATCCCTTTGAGGTTCCTATGGGTCAGGGTCTCATCTGAAAGACGGTGCGCTATCGTTGCATTCAGCCCTCCAGCTGAAACACAAGGAGATCAGCGATGGGAATTGAACTGGGGACCTAGAGATCTCCAAGGTTCAGCGCACACACATTGGTTACCACCAGATTAGGCGACTGAACTAAGTCACATCATGACCATATATAGGCATGTCATGCCCCTTGCACTTTGATATTGTGCAATTTTAGTACATCACAATTGTCTCAACATTACTATCTAAGGCTGGTCTTAAGCCAATGTGCATTGTTATGACTACGATCATTAGCCAACTATGTTTGTTGTTGAGTTTGTAAAGAAGTGACTAAAAATTAAATCTTTACCACCATGTGTTTGTGAGCTTAAAAAAATCACTTCAAAAGATATTTTACAGTATACATAAACTGCTTTAGTACAGGTAATAAATTATCCTTTTATTGAAAATTGGAAGAAATTCCAATTAAGATGCATTTATTTTCATTCAGTATTTCCTTTCATAGACCATTGAAATAGCTTTATTTAATGATTTTCTTTGTAAAAATGTAAGTACATGCTTTAAAGCGAAATGAGAGTATGTGAGAAGAATAATGACAATGTGCTTCATCAGCCTGAAATTAATATTCATAACTAGGTAATTAATTCATGATGTGGTCATGCATATTCATTAGTTATATATATTTGATTTTGTTTTATTTAGTGAATGAAGAGTAGGCTACCAGCAAAACAACAGCTCAGGAAAAACCATAATATGCTGGTAATGCAAATGAGGTATCTTGTGGGATTTGCCAGCTAGCTAGTATAAAACATGTTAACGATATTATGGCAGGTCTGTAGTGAGTAGGATAGGTTTACACTTGTTACTGGAAAAAAACAGAATTGACATTAAAGACAGCGTCATCATCTTGTTACCAGTGATCCAAGAGAGTTGAGATGATTAGTAATAGAGGATTATATTAGCAATGGATCATATTTGGCAGTTCATATTCAGAATCAGAAACGTTGCGTGGACCTTAAGCTATGATTTTTAATGTAGCCTGAATAGTGTTTTATTTCAGTAAACTACTGAATGTGAGACAGATCTTGTAGCCATGTCTTGGGATTTCAACAGTGAGTATGCATGATTTTCTGTGAGTGGGTTTACTAGAAATTCTACTGTACTCACAATATAACCAAACTGTATTTTTAAGGTACTTCTTATTGTTGGTTTTAAAGTGGTTTTTACCTCTAAATATCACTTGGTTTTCTATAAATTTCTGGTGTCAAATAATTTTCACTTTATATATTTTTGGCATGTATTGCAATTCACTTATCATGGATACAATTTTGCCTTCAACTTACTTACTTATTTAACTGTTCTATATCAATCAGTACAGTACGTAGGCCTATACTGTATATACAGTAAAAAATCCCCCTTTAAATGACCAGATTATTAATATTTATACGTACAGTAGTATACAGTAGTTGATTCAATTTTGAATATGCTATCCTGTAGATGGGGAGGGGGGTTCTAAACAATTTTACTATCTCTAATACTGTATAATCCCCTTCCAATGGTAGTTTTAGCTTACAGTATGTCAACATATCTCCTGACCCAATTTTTGACATCTACTTCGTGAATACTTCCCTGTGTAATTTATAGTTAGTCGATTCATTCAACAATTTTGGATATGTTATCGTTCGGGGGTTGGTGGGGAGGGGGCTTGGTGTTGGCTTTAAACAACTTGACATACTGTAATACTGCATGTTTTGGCCATTGAATGAATAGGCCCAAAAAAAAATATTCAGTGCAGGACATGTGGGGTTCATATTTGTGGTAATTATAAACCTGATTTCCATACTTGTGGTTGCCTCCTGGTGTGTAAACAAGATTTCTGCAACATAAATCTAGCAGTGACTCAGCATCAGCATGTAATGATCTTATGACAAATACTGTATACAGTATTATCTTTTCAGAATGAATATTAATAGTTTAAATCTAAGCTTACATGAAAATTAAGGCTTTTTAATGTTACATTATCATCATATAATTTCATCTGGTTTCAATGTGTTGTGTTATTAATTTAAGTTAATGATATGTTCTTGATTGTTTTTGATTCAGTAGAATTTCTTTCCTTTGTTTAATCTGTTGTATTTAAAGGGACGGTAGGGTATGACAAATCAAGAGGCACAAAGCATTACAGTACTTTGATAAATGTTAAAAGGCAAAGGAGGCCAGCAAAAAAATCATGCTTTATTTTGTTGCTATGAACAATTTTCCTGTTTAAATTTTAAAAAAATAGACTTATTTTCTGCTGTAAATGAGAAGATACTTTTAAAAATTATTTATTTTTCTAAGTAAATTATCTATACTTGGTGCTATAGACCAGTCCATTTAAAGTGATTTTGTAATCCATAAACAGACGTCATGACGGTGGAAAACATTTAGGACCAAAACAGACAGCATCGTGCGAGGCAGCCAGACGCGATTTGTTGTAGCTTTCGGTCTGTGTGAGTAAAGCTTGGTTTCCATAAACATCGCTACATGCTTTCGCTGACTCCTTTGGCAAAGCTGATTGGTCAGTTGAATCGGGGAAGATTGTCGATTGCGTCAGGGTCAGCTATGCAGTGCAGGGATTGCTGTAGCGACTGTGCAGCGATTGTATGGAAACCAAGCTTTGCACACTCAATTTGCATCGGGGTAAATCGTGTCGTAGGATATTAAACATGTTTAATATTTCTCGCGACGGCTTAAGACAGTCCCCAGCGATAAACCGCTTTGGGCTGCATTGTATGACACTGTTTGGATTTTTCCTTTGCGCTTCATCTGCTACAAATGTAAATATTGAAATATACAGTATTTTATAATTATCATAATCTACAGCACTCTAAAGACTTTGCTCACCATACCAGGGGTGGTGGGCTGAAACTCCATGATGGTCCTCAGCAATGGCAGTGCCAATAGAGGGCGCACTTTCCTAATTTGATTAGTCTGTTTTGGTGGCAGATTCAAGGGGAGTGCTAGTACTGAATGCAGAATAAGTATTTTTCCAAAGTATAATTATAATTAATTAAAAAGTTGTATGTTATTGTACAGTACACAACAAATTTTAATGTCATCATCATCATCGTCATCATTATTATTGTCACCATCATCATAATTATCATCATCATAGTTTTCATTATGTTCTCCTCATCATCATTAACAATCATTGTCATGATCATCATTGTTATCATCGTCATCATTATCATCATGGGATCATTAACATCATCGTCAGCAACATAATCATTATCATCATATTCATCAACATTTTCATTAAATTTGTTTTATTCATTTAGACTTTTTGTTTTGAAGATGAAATAAATAATGACCTGTTACAACCTGATACTTAAAGAACAGTTACATTAAATTGATTTATATTACAATATTTTAGGATAAAATAATATACAATAATGGCTTGTAAAAATAACCAAAAATGATGCACTATTAAGAAATCTGCAAGCCATCATTGTGCATATTGATTTTGTACTCGGATCATGTGAACAGATCGTGTGAACTAGTGTTTAACGCATGATCTTGCCGCAACTGTTTAGCATAAAATTATCATACTGGTGATAAGGTTTATAAGGGTGGTTTGGTGATTTAATATAAATTTGTTGTTTGATATATTTTTTAGCTGGCAGTGGGTTTGGTAAGATTGTGGTTTTTACTATGCCTGATTTATGTATTATGTATTCAACGATATTTCATTACGAGGGTCACCCTAACAGCACTACTCAATCTGGAGGGAAGTGCTACGTTAACATTTTTCTTGTTATGTATCATTTATTTAATATTTATTTATTATTTTTTAAAAGTCCTAATATCATTATTCTCTGAAATAATTATATAAAATCTGATATGAAATGCAGGGTATATAATATTTATATATTTATATACATTTTCCTTTTAATTTTTTTGTTTGTTTTTGTAATTTAATGTTATTTAAGATCATACCTTGGACCTCAGGGAAGAACAGTGTACTTATACTGACCGAGTATCCAGAATAAAGAAAGATTTCTGTCTTTTCTGACAGAATCAGGAAGTTTCTCTCGGCCAGTCAATTTTTTTCCCAAGACCCATAAAAAAGTTATAGTTCTTAAAAAAATAATTACTGTAGCTTTGCTGGTCTCCTACAATCATAAATCTTAATTTTTTGTCACAGTCAAGAAATTTTACTACTCAAGCTTCTTTTAACATTCATAAATTTTTAAAGGAGTATTTTTGATGGTTGATATAAAGAAGAACTAAATTTATTACCTGATTTGCATATTCTATTTTGTCAGTGTGATATCTAATGAGAGGGGGAAATGCCATTCCCAGGAAAATTGACATGTAAAGATCCCTCTCCTAACCATTATTGGTCTTTTTATTGTTGTTATCAATATACCGTAATTGTGGCACTAGTGATTTCTGTTTATATGGGTCTGTATTACCATGGTATTACATCCTGCCTTGAGTTTTTTCCTGATCTTTGGAGATTTGGCGTGCGCTTTATAACTGAAAGGAAAAGTTGCAATATAAATGCTCGTACCAGTACCAGTAACCAAAAGTGCACTGTTACTAAAGTACTGTGGTTAAAATTTACAACTTATATAAAAGCAAACATCCTTACTTTATCATATCAACCTCCAAATTCAACATTGAATCCCCCTTCCCATTGGACCTCCCCCTTCTAACCCCCCTTTATCAACCTCCATGTCAATACTCCTAAATACGCTACTTCGGGAGTCCACGTTACAAGAATCCAAATCCGGGAGATCTGTTTAAATGATCTTTCTTAACACTATAACAACACTAATTATATTTTGGTGACTCCCATTGCACTGACTTCCGAGAGACATTTGATCATACAGTAGTAAAAAAGGTATGGGAAAGAGAATAACATTTTCCGGGAGACTCTGTACCTCTGCTACTTCAGATTGTGTCAGGTAACAAACATAATAGTTTGGTTGACTTTTTGGGTTTTCTTCCTTGTTCCTTCTTTGTTATTTGTATACTACAAATCATGGCTTATTGTTGCTACTGCAGGATTAATAATACAGTATAAATCCTATTAAGGGGACACATTTGTGACTAAAAAATATCCCCTTGTGACTTCTGAATAGGAGTTGGTCATGTGTTAAAATATATACTTTTTTTTTTTTTTATACTTTTTTTAGTTACTGAAAAAGTGTCTCCTTAATAGGGGTGTTCCGAATGAGGGGTTTTACTGTATTTTTTGGTCAAAAAGGATAATTTCAATTACTGATGTGCAGTAGGTGTCAAAATATGGTCAAAATATTTAATATCGGGAATATAAATATTACAATTTTTAGTTATTTATAACAATTTAAAATCAACTACAAAAATATGAATGTGAAATTAAAATGTATTGTAAATGTAAAGAAATATGTAAAAAACAAAAAATGAGTAATTTGCAAAATAAGCAATCAAACATTGAAATACCGTAAAATAAGTGTGTTATAGATTGTTTTTTAAAAAGTCAATTGAAATTCAAATATTAACAGTTGTCGTACGAAGCGATTACATCCATCAATTTAATTTGTGCTGAAACTGAAAGTTATTTGAAAAAACAAAACCATATACTCAAGTAGCACTGCTACTAGGCCGAAACATATTATTTTAACATAATCAATCTTTTTATATTTCAGCCACCAATGCGTATAATAGAAGTGTACAAGACACTGTTGCTACTACCTTGCCCAGCATACCAACTCTCACAACTGTTGGGAATGTGTGTCGACCAGGCATGAGCCCTGAAGAGGAACTAGCAGAGATATCAAATACAGATTTTTACATCGGCCTAGCCTTGGCTGTCAGTTCTAGTATATTTATTGGCTCGAGCTTCATAATCAAGAAGAAGGCTTTGATTAAAATTACGGCCTATGCCACAAGATCTACATGTAAGTAAACAAATCCATGAATAATTAAAATTACTGTTAATATTATAATACATGATATTGTTCTCCTGAAGACAATTGAAGCAACTCATTTGAAACATCTAGACATTCTCAACAAACAACAGTTTTTTTCAAAAACTATATGTGGTGTATTAACTAATTAAATTTCCAAACTAATATTTCAAATAATGTTGTTCATAGATTAAGCAATTAGTATAGTTCTATCCAGTTTAAACTAATGATGAATTAATTGCTGCGAAACAGCCAATTCATATTCTTGACAACAATTTGACCTCTGAAAGGTCATTGTCAAAAAACGAGGCCTAAGACAACTGAAAAGCTGAGTTTCCTTCTTTCGTTCTGCCGGGTAAAATCAATTACTTTAGGCGACGTTTGTAGACTAACCTACTCGTACCAACGTCCGCATGTTGCGACGCTGGAGTATTACTATTCAGCGTTTTTTACTATATTTCTAGGTTTCCTATTTCTACGTTTTATCGGCCCATGTCTCAGCCACAATATTTTGAGGCCAATATTATTTACGAACCCAGTTAAACTTATTTACTAGCCTATTTCAACGTGCTAATTATTACATTTAGGCGATGCTTGTTGTAGACTGGCATACACAGTGTTTTCGGAAATAAACACCATTTTATACACATGCGCAGATCAATTCGCCAGCAGCAGCGAGTCGCCAGCAGCGAGATGTCACTGCAGCAAAACACTATAGTACACAGTACCAACGCTGTTCTAATATAGACAATGGGTCATGTCTCATATTATTTGTTGCTGCGAAGCAGCCAATTCATATTCTTGACAGCAATTTGACCTCTGAAAGGTCATTGTCAAAAAATAAGGGCCTAAGACGACTGAAAAGCGGAGTTTCCTTCTTTCGTTCTGCCGGGTAAAATCAATTACTTTTTAGGCGACGTTTGTAGACTAACCAACACGTACCAACGTCCGCATGTCGCGCTAGCCTAGGCCTAGACTAGCTAGGATGGTATAGGCCTAGCCTTGAAGGGACGAAGGTCCCAATGAAAAACAATGTCGCTCCTTGATAGTTAACATTGTCTATTTAACATCACAATAATTCATTATTAGACCTATAGTTGTTTTTTGAATTGTACTCCACAAATCTCAGCTGATACCTCGCACAACTCGTTAACGTCTCGTATCTATTGTCGTGACGTCATGGCTCGCCGGCTCACACTTGCGATGTCTCACAACCTGTGATCAAATAACACGCTGGCTCGCACTTTGGCAACACTCTTTGGCAGTCAACTCGCACCTAGAAAACCCGCCCTTGGAAACTTGCCCCATAAAAAAATGTACACTTCCTAGACCATGCAGTCTTCAAAATAAAAATTGCAACCTTTGGTAAAATCAACTACATTTTCCACATAAACATTTTTGAAACTTTATTAAAAAAACCTAAACCATAATTCACCACTATAGACACTTTTTGACAAAAATGAAAAATTTCGACCCAATGAGAAGTGTTCTAATATAGACAATGGGTCGTGTCTCATATTATTTGTTATATTTTTATTATTCATTATTTTCACTTGACTCGCATAAATAATTTTGTTCGAAGAACATTTATATGCTGTTGTACTTCGCAGCACTTCACTTGCAATTTGCAATTTCTAGTTTCTTAATTGATGGATCTCAACTTATAAGGATAGTCACATTAAATTTGAATTTATGAATAATTTAATATATTATGAGCACTTAATATAGTGCCAGGTATCTATCTTGTAATGCTCATGACCAGTGACGTATATGAAGTGGAGGGGCATGTTGGTCAGGTGAAGTGGAGGGGCGTGTTGGTCAGGTGTGGGGTGCTAACTTGCAAAATAAGGTGATTTTTAGTATACTTGACTGTGGTTTTTAGGTGTGTGGGTGCGAGTCATTTTGGAGGGGCGTCTGCCTCCTTGCACCCCCTAGGTACGCCACTGCTGATGTCGCTTCAAATTCACTTATTAATACAGTATATTTAATGTAAGCCGACCATGCATTGCTCAGAATAATGATTTTTTATGAATATTTATCTTTCAGCCGATGGAGGTCATGCATATTTAAGAGAATGGCTTTGGTGGGCAGGATTTCTAAGTCGTAAGTTTCTATCTTAATTTATGGAGCTTTCAACTTGCGCGACGACGTGCATTAGCATGGATTCACGTAAAATGTGTGACTGTCCTACATTCTCTGCACAATATAGATTTGGTCAAATTGCTTCCTAGAATCAATGCCACGAGGAAAACTCTACATTCTCTCATGCGCGAGTAACTTTTTAGTGACATCATTACGTTGTACGTCCCACCTCGTCATACAAATGAAAGTCTCCAATTGTTACATTTTGTGATGGCAGTGTGTATACACTGTACAGTACAGGGCATATTTTATTTTCAATGTTGTTTTGTGCCATGAAATTTAATAGGAGTAATGTGTTGCCCTACCTGATGTGTTTTACCAAATCATTTGCTTTCTTCTTCTACAGCCTAAAATTTATTAATGTATTAAAAATGGTTAAATATTGTTATTATTATTATTGTAGGCTTTATTTGTCATAATTAATTACAGTACAATCACACAGCATAAAAATATAAAAACACCATAAACTGAGGATGTAGGAACCATAATGACAATAATAATAATAATAATAGTAACAACAACAACAACAGGAAAAGTTTCTGTGATCCAATTTTAATTTTTTTTAAATGTTTTTTTTATTTTCTTTTAATAGTTTTGTATATTGTCCCCATGTCCCTTAAGTGGTGTTTTTACGTAAATTTGTATCATTGTTCTCGTAAAATGTTACTTTTTATATTTTATTGTTAAACAAATTTTATAAAGAATTTTAATGTATTGTAAAGGACACGCAATTCAGTTTAAATTTTACTGCGAAGGTTGAAATAAAATGAAATGAAAAATTACAATAGACAAGTTCGGCTACCAGGAATTAGTAGTAAGTGTTCAAATAACTTTTAGTTTTGGTATTACATACTGTGCATGTTTTGTCAGTGTAAAAGCATAGAAAAGAGAAGTTTATGGTTTCATAAATGTGGCAAAGACAAGCCAAACCAGTCACTCGTCGCAAATCCTGTTTCAGAGATATTGACCCAAACATGCTGGAATGTCAAATTTTGAAAAATCTATTTTTATTGCACTAAACTAACCTTTATCTATCTATACATCATGCTACACTGTTATTTTTTCCACATTCAATGTTAAAACAACAATTTTTAATGATTTGGTGATGGTTTCTGCTTGAGAAATGCCCGAAATCATCAACTTTGAAGGCTGATTTCTCAAATATTGTTCTTTAAACTGCTGTATGTTTAAACGTTAACTTCTTAAGGAAATGTTAGATTAAAATTATTATTTTACATTTTTACAGCTATCATTTTACTGTTAACCCTGTAATAATAACTAAAAATCAATTTTTGCGAAGAGTGACTGGTTTGGTTTGTCTTTGAATGCCACAAATGATTTTAATTTTTCAGTCTAATATTAGTCATTTTGATTTAATTTAAATGAAGCTCTATTTTAATATCTCATGTTGTTATTGTAAGTTGTTGATGTTGCAACCAATGCTAATACTGCTGTTATTGTTACAATTAATTAATTATTGATTTGTTGGTTCTTTTTATAGTTAGTTCTGGTGAATTTCTGAATTTCGTTGCGTATGCATTTGCGCCAGCCACCTTGGTTACTCCACTTGGCGCCCTCAGTGTTCTCGTAGCGTAAGTAGACTTGTAACTGTGCATGCTTTGTGAAAAGTTACCTAATTACCATAAGACCTTGAACTGAAGCCCTGGGCTTCTTTTCGAGGTTATTTTGCAAAGTAAAGAGGGGGCTTCTTTTTAAAATTAATGCTGTCAATTTTGGGAATTAGTACTATAAACAATTGATAGGGCCACTGTAACATTAATCTATATCCAATGCTGTAAAAAGTTGGTGGTCCTTAGTCCGGCACTTGAGTATCTTTAGGCTGGGTTAGCAAAAAGTACATTAAAACTATTCAATAGCTGATATATAAGGACTAGCAATTTTTTAAGCAAAACTAGGACCTTGGTCTAGCAAAAAAATAAAATTAACTTTTTACAGCTCTGGTATCATGGAGTGTATTAACTGGCATTAAATCACCTGAACTACTGTACTGTATAAACCACTGTTCGAAACCAGTGCCGATGTTATGGGTGTACATTGTGACATTTCTGCCTTAACTGCTCGGTCACTTGGCCCGATGATTTATGTGCCTTATTTTTCATTTTCCTCCACCCAACAAATAAATAGCAAGTAGTGTTTATAATATATACCAATCCATCTAATGAAAATGTACAGTTTTCATAATGCATTGACATACTGAATTTATTAAACAGTTTGTGTATTCCTTGAATATTATATTTATCATTATTATTACATTACTATGCTCATATCTTTTTCTTTTTTTGCAGAGCTATTTTATCATCACATTTCTTAAATGAGACTTTAAATATCCTAGGTAAGATAGGTTGCCTGCTATGCATTCTTGGGTCTGTTGTGATGATTCTGCATGCACCGAAGGAAGAGGAAGATGACACGTTGGATGAATTAGCAGTCCGGCTTGCAACTCCAGGTATTGTACCCTGCGGTGTACTTAGTGGCATACCCCCCCCCCCAAA